CCCTCGGAGGACCGCCTCCGCGCTCTAAAGCTCCCTCGTCCAACCCCGCCCCCGCCAGCATGGTCACGCCCCCGAATGGGCGGGCCTCCTCCGGGCTCTGGGCCTGCCCCCTCCCCTGTCTCCAGCCAACCATTATCAAGCTATGGCTTAACTAGTATTTCGACCCCGCCCCAGGCCTGCAAAGATAGCTCTCTGCTCTTTCGACTACTGCCGGGCTTCGGGGTGATGCCCTCGCCTCTTACCTGCGAGCCCGCCCAGCGCCTAGCCCCGCCCTCCCCTTTCTGGCCTCCTCCCCCAAGCCCTAACCACGTCCCCTTCGCGACTCACACTTCTCCCAGGCATCTAGCCCCGCCTCCGAGCCCCACCGCCGTGCGAGGTTTGGGCCTCACAGACCCCCCCCCCCACTCCTTAGCCGCAGGCCCGCTCCGCTTCTAACGTGCCTCTGAATCAGACTCGACTCTTAGCATTCGAAGCCACCCTCTTCACTCCCTGGATTCACGCTCTCTAGTCCAGGCTCCACCCCTTTCCTCCGCCTCACTCCACTAGTTCTAGCACTGTACTGAACACGCCCTCGACCGAGGGCTGCACCCCACACCCGCATTAGGAACTCCCATCTAAACCGGCTCACGCGGCCCCATCCGACATCTAAGGCCGCCCTGTGTTCTAACTCCATCCACCAGAATTCTGGCCCCGCCCAGGCATCCTAACCACGCCCCTGGCGGGACCTCCTCGCTACTTAAGTGTACTGAGGTCTAAACACTCCCCGAAGCCCCACCTCTGCCCCACAACCCAATCACGCCCCTTCCCCAACTTCTCCCCATCACCCTCAATTTCTCCCTCTCCCTAAAGCCATGGGATCCAGAGCGGTCTCCGGGGAGGAGAGAGCGCAGCCTGGGAATCCAGACTAACCCCCTCCTGCCGCCCCCACCCCATCAAGGCGGGGAAGCTTCAGTCCCCTCCCAGCAGCGTCTTCAGGAATTCGGGGAGGCCTGCGGGGAGGGAAGACGTATCAGGGGAGTGGAGGAAGGAAGATCCCTTCCTCCCGCCTCTTCCGCCACGGAAAAGCCAGCCAAGCACAGCAACCCAGCCTGCCCTGCCAGAAATACAGTTCAAAGGTTAGCGGAAGCACTGCGTTTAATAAGAGACGGGGCCGGTGGCCGAGTAATTCCGAGTCCTGTGGAAGAGTCACCGGCTATCTGCCAGGCCCCAGATGTAAACTCCAGGAGGCGGCAATCTAGGCCTGGGGACCGGCATCTAGCCCCCCATGGCTTCCATTAGGTGGGTAACTCGGGGGCGTCTCAGCCCTCCCGGTGCCACGGCGCCCCCGAAGCGGGAGACTGGACTATTGCCCTGGCCCCACCCCGTTCACTGTCCCTGGCTCCGCCCCCCTTACATTTAACCCTCTCCTGGCGGGAGTGTGACGGAAGCAGAGGACAGAGGAGCAAGGCGGCAGGAGGTTAGTGCAGAGAGCGGAGGCCACAGTCGGCGGGCGCGGTCAGCGGGCGGCCCCCGGTGGCGGGGCGGCCGCCACCACCTTGCAGAAACGCACCCTCTGGAAGTCGGTGATCTCCGCGGTCTCCTGGCCCTCGGTACCCGCCTCTGGGGAGAGAAGGGGCAGTCAGCGGAGGGGACAGTCTCCCCCTGCCCCCTCCACCCCACTCCCCCCCGTCCAGCTCCGTCTCTGATCCCAACTGAGCCCGGCTACAGTCCCCCTGCGCTAGGTGGTTTATGGGCCTCAGACTCCTTTGATCTTCGCAGGGACCCACAAGCTGCACGCACCCCAACAGAACCCTGTTTACAATCGAGGAAATCATCTGGGATAGCGAGATCACCCTAAACTCTGTCCTCTCGCCCCCCAGCCGCCCCCCTCACGCTCCCACGGGCATAAACTAACTCCCATTCGCCCCCCGCCATCGGATCTGTCCCTCTCTGCCCTTGCCCACGAGAGTACTGACCAGATCTTCCTTGGCTCTGCCCCAAACGCTAACCCCGCTCTTGGGGAGGTCCCTGGTTCGCAACCTGGCTTGCGCTGATGGAGCTGAAGACGGGGTTGGGCCCAACATTCTAATGGGGCCTGCATTTCTATTCTAATTTACCCTACTTGGTTAGACCTCAAAACTCCAATCCTGCCCACAGCCAAATCCATGATTCTACCCCTCCCCCATTCTTACTTTTGACCTATTTAAATTCCTAATCCTGCCCTCAGCCCCGCCCCTTGAACCTAGCCCCACCCCGTTATTTTTAGATTACATCCCCAAACGCCTGGGGTCGGCCTCCAAATCCCAATCCCATCTTGGCTCCACCTCCTCACGGCCCCCCTTTCCCCCTCCACTCAATTCCCTAGCGCCCCAGAGATTCTCCACTTAGCTCCACCCCCTTGACCTTGGCTCCTCTCACCTGTAGCCTCACCCCCAGGTCCACTGCTACCCCACACACCCAGCTCCACTCTATCCTACTCTCCCCAAACCCTCCCCTCAGCCCCGGAGGGAGAAAAAGAGGAAGGAAGAAGGCCATCTCTGGCCCCATCCACTCCCCCACCTGGAGCTGCCTCAGACCCTTCCTCTTCAGCTTTCTGGGTTCCTGGGAGGCTGGACCCACTCTCAAGGGAGGCAGGGGCTGGCTGGTCACCTCCTGGGGAAGGGGGAGGCCCAGTCAAGCCCCTACCCGTCCAAATTTCCCCCCACCCTGAGAGAGAAGGCCCTGGGGAAGTGAGGGGTGTTCAAGGACACACTTGGGGAATATCATTTGAGGACGTGAACTCTTTATTGGGGAGGGGGCTCTGTGGCCCAGAGCAGGGGCAGGATGGGGGTGGGGGGGGCATTCCAAAGACAGACATGGACTGTCCTCCCTAGCCACCAGGGCGGTGGGGCACACACGGTCCCGGGGCCCAGCCCCTGACGGTCCCCCCTGCGAGTGTACCCCTCAAGCGCACACACACAAGCAGCCAGCTTCATGCATTTCCAAAAGGCCAGGCCTCACCCGGAGACAGGGCATTGGCCGGGTGGGCATCCCGGGGAGAATTCAGCTCCATCTCTTCACCCCAGTCAGACACGGGTTGGTGGTCTCCAGGGGGTGAAAAGGGGCTAGAAGGCGTGGCAGGGGCCTGGGGCAGTGGCGGGGGCTCCTCTGGCCTCGACCGCTCTCTGTCAGCCTGCTCACCGGTGGGACTTCCGGTGCGGCTTCGGGGAGGGCTTCCGGTGGGCTCAGCCTCTTGGGGTTCATGGCCTTGGGCTGGTTCTTCCTCCTCATCAGCCTCTTCTTCTTCCTCGACCTCCTCTTCCTCCTCCTCACTCACGTCTTCCCACTCCTCATCCTCCCCCTCATCCTCCTCCCCCACGTCCTCCTCCCCCTCATCCTCAGGGGGCCGGTGGGCAGGAGGAGCTGGGGTCTCGGGTGGCTGTGGGGAACACAAGGCAGGTTGGGGCGAGGGGGTGGGCCCTGAGCACCCCACGCCCCCTGCCCAGAGAGGACAGCCCGCCTTACCTGCAAGGGCGTCTCCTCAGGTGGAGCGGGCTGTGGGGCCTCAGGGGCTGGGGACACTGTGTCCTCAGTCTCCCAGCGGTCATCATGGTCACTGGAGGGGACAGAGGGAAGGGGTGAGGCCTGGGTGGATGAGAAGAAGGGGCCTCCCACCTCCAGGTCCTCCCCCAGAGAAAAGCTGCAAAATTCAACTCAGGGCAAGAGGGGCTGCAGCTTTCCAGGTGAGGGTCCACATGTTGGAGCTCTGAGGAGGGAATGGTGGGTGTGTGTCCCCAGGTGTCAGGGACAGACAGACGGAGGGGCACCAGGTGGCAGAAGAGGAGTGAAAGGAGATGAAGGGAGAGATGGAGGTAAAGCATTTACCTAGAGAGCTAGGCCCCAACTACCCCCAAACAAGAGCCTGACCCACAGAGAGACAGTAGCCAAGAACTGACAGGGACGAGACAGCACAAACATGCCCCCGCGGAGTCAGAACAACCAGGGATAGAGCCAAACAGCCCTGCTGGGGGCACAGGGGTGTGCATACACCAAGGGTCGGGGCGCCCCCACCTGTAGGCACGAGGGGCTGCCTTGGTCTGGGGTCGGCTACTCTTCCTCCTCCTGCGGCTGACCTCAGCTTTGTGCTGGGACAGGAACTCCCTGAAAGTGGGGGGCTTGGGGGGCCGAGTCCAGGCCTGGTCATCTGCAAGAGAACCCAGGAGGAGTGGGGGATGGGGGGCATGACACAAAGTTAACCCCCATGCCTAGCCCTGCCAGCTGCCGTTCCCGCCCCCCGCCCCCAGCGAGAACGCCCACTCACCATAGCGGTGGGATGGTTCAAGGGCAGCAGCTGGCCCATCCTTGAACCTGGGGAAAAGAGAAAGGGGGTGAGCACGCAGCTGGGGGAACAGTGGGGGCAAGAGGGGTGGGGAGAAATAAGGGAGAGAGATGGGGGCCAGGGTCAAAATCAAGATCACAGAAGGAGAGACGGTCAAACAGAGGGGGTCCCTGATTAGAAGGCAGACAGGATCAGGTGATAGACAAGAGGCAAACATGACATTGTAGTGACAAATACAGAAAGAAAAAACTCAGTATTTGACACCCCAAAACAAAAATTTAGAACGTACGTGATCCCCAGCCTCCAGTCTAGCCACAATTCCTATCACTGTCTCCCATCTCCTCGGCTAAGCAGAGTCACCTAGCACACAGAACTCCTGCCTCAGGGCCTTTGCACCTGCTGCTCCTGGGACACTTCCCCAGACCTTTCAGTGGCCTGCACCCTCACCTCCTCCAGGCCTCAGCTCAGACCCTCCTAAACACCTGTCTAAAATAATCACATAATGGGGCGCCTGGGTGGCTCAGTCATTAAGCATCTGCCTTCGGCTCAGGTCATGATCCCAGGGTCCTGGGATCGAGCCCTGCATCAGGCTCCCTGCTCAGTGTGAAGCCTGCTTCTCCCTCTCCCACTCCCCCTACTTGTGTTCTCTCTCTCGCTGTCTCTGTCAAATAAATAAATAAAATATTTTTAAAAAATAAAGTCATCACATATTATATATATCACCAGTCTAAAACAAAAGCCTCCATCCCTCTCCATACTCTTCTTCTCTGTTCTTCGTGACCTGCCACTGGATCTAGTCAGTGTCCACCTTTCCAACTCGAGTCTAGGTTCCCTGAAGGCAGAAGTGTTTTGTTCATTACTGTATCCCCATCACCTTTCATGACACAGAGGAGAGACTCAATAAATATTTCCTGACAGGGGTGCCTGGGTGGCTCAATCGGTTAAGGGTCTTGCCTTTGGCTCAGGTCATGATCCCAGGGTCCCAGGATCAAGTCCCGCATCTGGCTCCCTGCTCAGCGCAGAGCCTGCTTCTTCCTCTCCCTCTGCCCCTCCCCCTCATAAATAAAATCTTTTTTCTTTTTTTAAGATTTTATTTATTTGACAGATAGCAACAGTAGGAACACAAGCAAGGGAAGTGGGAGAGGGAGAAGCAGGCTCCCCACTGAGCAGGGAGCCTGATGCGGGGCTCAATCCCAGCACCCTGGGATCATGACATGAGCCAAAGGCAGATGCTTAACAACTGAGCCACCCAGGCGCCCCTCAAATAAATAAAATCTTAAAAAAAAGATTTGCTGACGAAATCAAAGCACACGTGCATTTATGAGACTTGCTGCAGGCTGCCTTGGGGACACAAGAGGACACCATTACTTACTCTCATTCTTAACCCTGAGAATGTCTCCCTAAAAGCCTTAGAAGGATCAGCTACAGTATCTGTGCAAAGTATTTTTTGCACTTGCACAAGCTTGGCTCACAATCCACAATGAATGCTCTGACCACTGGGCGCACAGACAACAGCCTCTCTCTCCAGCCAGCGCCAATAATAAACGTGACCGGCATGAAAACTTCCAAAGCAGCAAAGGGTGCAGGATGCCATAAAAACGACAACGGTAGGGGCGCCCAGGTGGCTCAGTCGGTTGGGCATCGCTCCGGTCATGAACTTGGGGTCGTGGGATCGAGCCCCAAGTGGGGCTCTGCACTCCGCAGGGAGTCTGCTTGAGGATTCTCTCTCCCTCTCCCTCTGCCCCTCCCCCAGCTTACACTCTCACTCTAAAAAAAAAATAAAATAAAGGACTACAGCTGCAGATCTTAAGAGTGCTGTTGGCTGGCTCTCTGGTACGGAAGTTGGCCTTCCTGTCAATGACACAAGGGTAGAGCTTCCGTTTAAGTTGGACTAACTGGATGTTTCCTGGGACCCAAAAGGGGACCCAGTCAGATAAGGGTAAAATTACCACCCGGATAAGGAGTTTGGGTTGGGGGCAGGGGTGCAGTTTGACGGTCTAATCACCGTCACCCCTTCCTCACGCCTTCTCTAATTAGAATTTCCATCCGTGCCCTTAGCTGGGGCGCCACCAGAGTACCCCCGATGAGAGCAGCTTAGTCTCCCGCCAGGTCTGTCGCCAACAGAACAGACAGCGTGTCCGCCTGCCTCCTGCCCATCCCCGATGCCGGAACGGGCACTCCTCCAGAGAGCGGCCTCCGCCTGAACCCCAGAATGAACCCCCGGGGAGCAGAACTGAGTTCTGCCTGCATGGGGAGCCAAGCCCAGCTGGACCCACAGCTTAGAGCCCAGCCTGAATCAGCCAAATCTGGCTGACCTGTGAACACGAGACAGAAATGGTTTTGAAAAGGAAAAAAGAAAGAAAGAAATGGTTTTATCTGCCAGGGAGTTGGTGGTTCTGACGCAGCACGGCGACTGCTACCTGATACACTAGGTGGGACGTCAGAGAGAGACCGAGGAGTAAGTCGGGGTCAAGGTCAAGGAACCAAACGGGCAAGCAGAGGGACACTCACATGCCATCAGTCTTCTCAGCATCCCACTCCCGCCGCCACTGGCCAGTGGGCTTGCGGTGTCTCTGCAGCCGCTCCTGGTCGATCTTCTCCCTCTCCTGCTTCCAGCGCAGATACTCCGACCGCTCCCGGCCCGTCATGGACAGCGTCATGTCACCAGCGCCACCCAGGCCGGCCCGGCGGCCCTGCCCACGCACAGACAGGCAGTCAGGGCCCTGTTCCCCGAGCCGGCCCACCCTGGCCTCTCCCCCATGCCCGCGGGGCTGAGAGGCAGGGCCGTGCTCAAGGTCACAGGAGGAGGAGGTGACAGGATGGAGGTTGGGACCAGGTCTGCTCACGTGGCACCTCCACAGAGGCCATCCCAGAGCTCTCTCTCAAGTAGCAACCCCCTCTAGTCCCTCTCCCTGCTGGATTTTTCTTCACAATGTCTGACACTCCCTGACACCTTACGGTATGTTCGTTTAGAGAGCCGCCCCCAGAATCAACTTCACCAGGGCAGGGGCTTGGCCTGAAGACTCCGTCCCAATGGGCGCCTGGGTGGCTCAGTCATTAAGCGTCTGCCTTCAGCTCAGGTCATGATCCCAGGGTCCTGGGATCGAGTCCCACATCGGGCTCCCTGCTCATTAGGGAGTCAGCGTCTCCCTCTCCCTCTACCCCTCCCCCCTGCTTGTGCTCTTTCTCTCTCTCCCTCAAATAAATAAAATCTTAAAAAAAAAAACAAAACTCAGCCCCAGGACCTAAGTCTGCTTCCAGCACTCAAAAGATCCCAGTAAACATTACTGCCATTAGCGAGAGAGAACATCACCCAAAGGCCCATAAAGCTGTAAGAGGAAAGTGCTATGCTGTCCCCACAAGAACGGACCATCAGCTTGGGGCTGAAAGATGGGGAGGGGAGGCTACCCCTCGCTGCTGTCCCGGCCACCGCTGGGCCCAGCGCTCCGGCACAGCCCCAATCAACGGAGGCTGCAGGAAGGACAGACCGGCTGCAGACTGGGGCCCGACCCAGGGAGCCCCGGCCGCCAGCACCCACCTGCCGCTCCTGCTCCAGGCCGCAGCGCACCCGCTCGAAGTCGGGCCCCCCCCAGTTGCGCCCATGACGGCGGCTGCCTTCCCGGCGGTCCCGCTCGGGCTCCTCCAGGGGTCCGCTGCGTCGCCGGGGGTCGTCCAGGAAGTTCCGCACTGGGTTGGGCTCCAGCACACCTTCCTGCGGGCACAGGGAATGGGGGTCGGGGGGGTTGGAGGGCTCACCGGGGCCCAGGTGGCTCCGCCCCGCCGCGGGAACACCCCCAGCACTGACCCGCTGGTTGCGCTCATACTCTGCTATCTTCTCCATCTCCTCGTTCATCTTCTCGATGTTCTGCCGGCGCCGCTCCTCCCACTCCTGGGGGCAGGTAGAACACAGAGACAGAGACGCCGGGGCATCAGGGGGGAACTGCCCGACCCTGGCATGTTAGCATGCGTGCGGAAGAATGACCACAGCGGGGCGCCTAGGTGGCTCAGTTGGTTAGGCGACTGCCTTCGGCTCAGGTCATGATCCTGGAGTCCCGGGATCGAGTCCCGCATCGGGCTCCCTGCTCAGCGAGGAGCATGCTTCTCCCTCTGACCCTCCCCCCTCTCATGTGCTCTCTGTCTCAAATAAATAAATAAAATCTTTAAAAAAAGAATGACCACAGCGGGGGCGCCTGGGGGGCTCAGTCGGTGAAGTGTCTGCCTTCGGCTCGGGTCATGGTCCCAGGGTCCTGGGGTCGAGCCCCGCATCGGGCTCCTTGATCCGCGGGGAGCCTGCTTCTCCCTCTCCCTCTCCCCCTGCTTGTGTTCCTTCTCTCGCTGTGTCTCTGTCAAATAAATAAATAAAATCTTCAAAGAAAAAAAAAAAAAGAATGACCACAGCAGGCCTGAGAATCTCTCTGTACATGGGCCTGCTCGCAAGGCCGGCTTGTGGCTGGCATCTGGGAATTTGGCTCCCGGCGTGCTCCTGGGCAACCGTTAGCTATAAAGGGGGCTCCAGGTGCCTCGGCTGGAGGTGCCAATGGTATGGTACGTGCTGAGCGCCTTTCCTTCTGGGGTCTGGAATTTGGGTTTGTAGGAGGCAGAGGAGACCTACATGACGAGTGCCCAATAAAAACCCCAGGTAAGGGGTCTCGAGGGAGTCCCTGGTAGACAGCCCTTCATGGGTGTCATCACCATTCAACGCTGGAGGAAGTAAGGGCACCATGAGGTGTGGCTACACTGGACGAGATCGCTCGGGAGCCTGCGCCTGATCCCCTCCAGACGTCATCCCCTGAGCCTTCTCCCCTCAGCTTCGCGCTGTAATAAATCTCAGCCATCAATCTTGCTAGGGGAGTACTGAACCCGGAAAAGGAGTTGGGGACCCCCATATGCCACGGCTGCCACAGAAGTGATGCCAGTAATAGGAGTAATAACATGGCAGATGGCAAGGTGACTACCCGCCCCCCCAGTCCATTCTTCCCTTCTTCCACGGTAACAGAATTTTAGACGAGTACACGGCCAAGTTGCTGGAGAGGACATTTTCATTCCCGGGGCTCAGCACACAGGGGAGAAATAAACTTCCACTTGGGTTAAGCCATGGTATTTTGAGGTCTTTCGAGGACAGCAGCTTAATGTCTACAAATCACAAACATCCATAAGTAATGTTCTTCAAGCGCTTCCTCTGAGGATTTCAATGCCTGATATCCCAGAATGCTCGCGATACCTTTGAGACCTGATTATTATTCCCCTGAGAACCCAGAACCTCCCAGAAGGAAGTGAGCTGCCCAACGATAGGAAACTAATTGAACCGAGTCGACCCCAAGTCCATGGTGGGCCCTGAGGCCCTCTGCTAGACAGCCTCCCAGCCCGCTGACCTGCGCATCAGGGCGGGAGAGCAGTTACAGTAAGAACATCACTGATCACCACGGATAAATCCAGGCTGCGAGACAGACAGAATAACAGAGCGAGCGAGCAAGTGCACACGTACTGGACAGAAACACTGCACCAGAATGAGCAAAACGAGGGGAGATAAAAAGACAGGGAGAGTGCATGAAGCCCTGGTCAGGGGGACGGAGGAAAGGAGGGAGGAGAGAGAGAAAGAGCCGATGGAGGGGCTGAAAAAGCCAATGGAGGGGCTGAGAAAAGATGGACAAACGGGACACCAGTCCCTCTGAGAGTAGAACCAAAGAGAAACGAGATAGTAAGAGCCTTGGCCAGACGACTCCAGCCTATCCCGGGCTTCTACCTTAGATTTGCGGTCGGCAGCTGAGGCATCTCCAGCTCCTGAGAGTTGAGGGGACCCCCTGCCCCGGCCCCTCCGGCCACGGCCCCCAGATCCTCCTCGAGACTGCTCCCCAGAACTGTCCTCCCAGCTGCGGGCCGCCCGGCCCATGCCTGCCCGGCCTCCCTGCTGGGGGTGCGTCCGGCCTCCCTTGCTGGCCCCTGGGGGTCGTGGGGTCCCAGGAGACCTCCGAGAGGGACCCAAGTTCTTCTCCTGGAGAAGAGAAGGGAGGAAAAGTACAGTCACTGGGATGAGGAGACTGGGCCACCCAAGCCCCGAAGGCAGCTGGGAGACTTGAGGCCGCCCACAGGGCTGGGGCGGCAGGCAGGGGAGGGCTCTTGGGCCCCAGGTCTCAACTCTCACCCCCTCCTTGTCCTGACGAGTCCCCCACCCTGGTGTGGAGCTCACCGCCTCAACTGCCACGTTCTCCTTCTCCACCGAGCGGCCCTTCCGGGGAGCTGTCACGGCCACTCCCTCGAGTTCGGCTTTTTTCCGGTCCTCCTCAATCTCCTAGGAGCAAACATCAGCGGGAGGAGACTGTCAGGGGTCCCGGCGCCAGCTGGATTCCCACAGCCCCCTAAACGTCCTCCAAGATTAGCCCCCACCTAGGCCTCTCTCCTCAGCTCCAGGCAAGAAAGCTGGTCACTTCAGCATCTTCCCCCCACCCCCCAGCACCATGCTATTCCCCTGCTCAGAAGCCTCCTGTGGTACCCATCTCTGAGTACGAGCCAAAGGCTTCCTCACAGCCTACGGGGCCCTACAGGGTCTGGCCTCATGACTATCCTGACCTCATCCCCCATCCTCTCTCCTTCTTCTCCCCCTCACTCACTCTGCCCTTCTCACTGTTCCTAGAACATACCAGGCTCAGACCTGCCTCAGGGCCTTTGCACCTACTGTCCCCTCTGCTGGGAACACTCTTCCCCCAGAGAGCCTTCAGTCCCTCATCTCCTTCAGGTTTCTGTTCCCGAAACGTCCCCTTCTCAGAGAGGCCTTCCCTGACCAGCTTACAGAAACCACCTCCCCTACCATTCTCTTGTTCACTACCTGGCATTATATGTATTTTGCCTATTGTCTGCCTTGAAGCTTGCAACAGAAGCTGCCTGAGGACAGGAGTACCTGGCTGTTTTATTCACTAATGTATACCCCAAACCTAGAACAATCTGTGACACACACCAGAAACTTGATATTCTTTTTTTTTTCTTTTAAAGTAAATGAATGAATGCATGAAAAATGAATAAATGAAACCCACTCTTTCTCTCAGATCCCTTCTCAGGAACAGCCCCGCCAACTACTCTGGCACTTCTGACAAGGACCTGGGCCGCATGCTGGCCCCTCCCACCTCCTCCCCACCTCCACCACTGCCACTGAGCCCTCTCAACAGCCCTGTCCCAGGTTGGGCACCTCCTCTCCTTCCTCCTTGGTCTCCTGGGCTCCGGTATCACCTCCTCCCACTCAACACCACAGAGCAGCCAGGGGGCTCTTCCTAAAAGGCTATTCTGACGTGCTCCTGCTCCTGCTCAAAGCCCTCCAGGGTTCCCCAGTGCCCTCAAGAGAAAGTCCAAATTCTCAGCCTGGCTGCCAGGGTCAACATTCCTCCACTGACCTTCCAACTTTAAGCTCCTGATTTCTGCACAAATTGTTCCCTCTGCTTGAAACACGTTTGGCTCTTCTTTTCAGCTGGCTAACTCACCCCCTTCAGGTGTCGGAATCTCCTCCTCCAGGAAGCCCTCCCTAATATCTGGGTGGGTGAAGAGGCCCTTCTGGGCGCCCCCCAGACCTCTGAACTCCTGCAGCCCAACCCAGCCCACTCTGGGACATCACTGCCTGAAGAACGGTCGGTGCTCCCACTGGACTGTGAACTCTGGACTGTGAAGTCTGGAATGACCTCAGGGCTGTCTCAGTCATAGCTATATTCCCTGCCACACTCAGCCTAGAGCCTGGCAGTGAAGACCCTGGTGAGTATTCATGTATGAATGATGGAATGATGGAATGAAGGAAGGAATGGCAGGCTAAGGCCTTTGGCTTTTATCCTGAGAGTGATGGGGAGCCATGAAAAGGTTTGAAGGAAGGGAGAGGTGAGGGAAACTCACTGCGGGGAGGAGAGGGGATGGGGTCTCCCAGGGCGGGGCTAGGGCACCTGGTAGCGCCGGATGAGGGCCTCATTTTTTCGCCGAAGAGCTTCGATCCTCTTGTCCAACTCAGCATCCTTCTCCTCCTTCGATTTCAGATCCAGTGTGGCTGACTGAGAAGAGGAGACAGTTGAGAAACAGTAAGAAAAACCTATACCCAACCCAGCACCATTTGATCCAGGGTCTGAGTCTTGGGTCCCCTCCTCCCAAGCCCCCTGACCCAAAGCTCAAATTTGAGACCCCACTTTCCATCTCACCATTCCACTGGCAAGGTGGTACCAGGGTCCCAGCAAACTTCCCCTCTAGAATGTGGACACAGCACTGGGGGTTCCTGAGGGCAGAAGGAGGAGAAGGATTAAGGCTAATGCCTCCCCAATCTGCTTCCATCTCACCCATACCAGGGACTCCTCTCAAACATACATGCACATAAACAACACCATCTGCACCCCCAAGAGAATTCTAGCCCCGCGCTCCCACTCCCTCTTCTTGTGCGAGCCCAACACTTACCTGGAAAAATTTACATTCCACCACCTCCCAAACATTTGTGCCCACCCATTCCCTACTTAAACACTAGAGTCGCACCCACCTTGGGAAAGTTCTGGTCCTACCCTACAGCTTAAGGAAACATCCAACATTGCTCCCTTCCAAAGGAAGATTCTAGCCCAGCCTCCACACCCCAGTGCTGGGAGTTTCAATCCAGGCCTCCATCTCCAGAGAGCTTTAGATACATCCTCTTGCCACCCCCCCCATCTGATTCTAGGCCCACCTTTCTGTGCCCACTCTGGTGTCACTCCATCCCCGTGAAAACTCTAAACCCACCTCTTTCCCAGGAACGGTTCAAAATAACCCCACACAAAAACAAGCTCGAACCCCATGCCTACAAGTTGCCCCGACCCTGGGAGAATACTTTAGACCCACGCCTCGCTCTGGGATGTCCCAGCCCCGCCTCCAACATCCCGAGAAAGGTACCACTGCTTCCCCAACAACCCCGCAAGGATTCCGAAAACAGGCCCGGTGCCCACTGGCGAGGCTTCCTGGGCCTGGCTCAACCTTCCCAAGGAATACTCTACCCGCCCCGGCGCGGACGAAAACTTCCCGACCCGCGCACTCCTTTGCAGGGAAAACCTCCAGCCTCTACCGCGTCCGGAAGGCACGGCCCCGCCCCACGCCAGAACCAACTTTCTCGCCCCGCCTCTCCCGCTAGACCTCTGACCCCGCCCACATGCGCGTCGTAAATCTGAGCCCCCTTCTGACTTTCCCAGCCTATCCCCGGCCCCGCCCCCTGGGCCCCCAGGCAACAGCCTGAAGCCGCCCCCTATTCTCGCGTTATTACACCGGCCCCGCCTCCGATTTGCCCAGCCAAGCTCCCGGTCACGCCCCCTGCTTCCCAGCCACGCCTCGTCGCGTCAAACTATGGCCCCGCCTCCGGGAGCCCCAGCCGAGGTTCTGCCTCCGGCGCCAGCTTCCGTGCCAACGTTCTGACCGCGCCCCTGGCTCCGGCAAAACTTTCTGGCTCCACCCCCAGCATTCCCCGCCAGTACTCTGGTCCCGCCCCCTGCCACCCACAACTTTTTGGCCCCGCCCCCGCCCTCGCGTCTGCCTCGCAAGTCGGGGCCGACAATCTGGACCCACTTCAAGCTCAGGCAAAACTTTCTGGCCCCGCCCCCAGCACGTTCGGCCAAAGTCCCGGCCCCGCCCCTAGCTCCCCGGGCTATATTTTGGCTCCGCCCCCAGCTCGGACACAACTTTTTCAGCCCCACCCCCATCTGCCCACCCACGCCCCGGCCCCGCCCACAGCCTGACCCGCCCGGGTCCTGCCCACCCGCCGACGTCCCGCCCCACCAGGGCCCCTCTCACCTCCCATGTGGGCGTCCTGTCCCCGCCCCCCGCAGAGTACTCTGACCCCGCCCCCGCCGGCTGCTCGCTGCCCCGCCCGCACCCGCTCCCGCTCCCCCCACGTGGGGCGCCAGGCCCCGCCCTCTCCGGGCGCGCTCCCGGCCCCCTCCCCCGGTCACCTGTCCCGGAGACCCCGCGGCGTCCGCGACTCCGGCTCCGTCGGCCTCTGCGTCCGCAGCTCCCGGGCCGCGCGCGTCACTTCCCGCCCGCACCACGTGAAGAGGGGAACTAAAGAGGGTCACTTCCGGTCCTGCCGGCCCGTTTCCGGGAGCCTTAAAGGCGCCGCGCCCCCGCGGGTGCAGGCGGGAATGTGTATAGGTGGTCCTCAAGGGTATTCTGGAGGCTTGCTCAACTTCGTTTGGCCTAGATTACTTCCTTCCAGGGAAAGGAGACACCATTCTCTCTCTGGCAGGCCTTTACCTGCTTTACCTGCGTCCTCTTTCCTGTTTCCAATAAATAGGTACCAGGCACGCACGGGGCAATGACTCCTGGAAGCCTGACCTGCCAGGCTCATGTGGGGGATTGGTGGGGAATCCCTCACCCCCCTGCCAGTGAAACCTTAGAGTTAGTTGTAGAAGCTTCAAATTTTCAATCGATAGAATCTTTGATTCATTCTCTAAATCTGCATTGAGTGCCAGGCTGGGGGAGGTGGGGTGCATGGAGAGGAGGGGAGTCAAGGCGATGAACAAGGCAGACCCCATCCCTTCCCTGGTGAGGGAAGGCACAAGTAAATGCGAAATAACAGGAACAATTATAAGTGGGCAGACTGGATTCCCTGAGGTTGCTGGTAATTTTATCTTGTGACTTAAAACGGGAAAAAGTGGAAGTACCTGCTAATCCCTGGTCCCTTATAAGGTTACTGTTAACAGCTTTTCAAAGACCTTTTCTACATATACAACTGAATTTCTTGTAACTCCCCAAATACCTGCCAAGTTCACTATATGCTGCTTCAGTTCTTTATTCAGATATTAGATCCACTCAGGGGCCTTCCCTGAAGCTGCCTGTTTGAAAATTGCAAAACCTCCCATCCCTTTTTTTCTTCCCACTCCATTTTTCCATTTTACTGTTCACCCTCTGAACTACCCGGTGTCTTACTTACTTCCCTTGTTCTCTGTCTCCTCCCCTGTATCGTCTCTTTTTATAACTTGCTACGTCCCCAGTGCCTCCAACAGGGCCTCATACATTAATAAGCTCTCCAAAAAAAAAAAAAAAAGTTTACAAATGGGTCAATCTTTATTATTACTATTTTTTCCCTTCTTATGAAACAAAAAGTAAAAGCATATGTACTGCACTGAGATCATATATCTTTATTTTAACAATGGACGGTTGACAACCTTTAAAACTGCTATGGGATATTCCCTCCTGGAGATGGGCCATAATTCGCCCTACCTGGTCTCATGGATGTTTAAGTTGTTTTCAGATTGGGGAGATGGCCAGCAATGCTGCGTTGAAGTTCTCCAGGCACACAGCTTTGTAAGTACATGACCTGTAATCTTGCTCAAAAAGGACTCAGAATATCATGATTAAGACTACAGACTCTGAAGCCAGAAGGCCTGGGTTTGAATCTCAGCTCTGTCACTTACCAACCGCGTGACCTTGAGCAACGTGTGGAACTTCTCTGGACTTCAGCTTCATCTGTGAAGGAGATATCGTAACACCTTCCTACTGGATCTGTGGTGCAGAATTGAATGGATTAATGAATTAAAACACAGAAAGTGCTTGGCACGAGGCCTGAAATACTGTTAAGTTCTCAATACATGGAGACCATTATTATGGCTTCTAGGAAGACAAATTCCTGGATCAAAAGTTAATTCACATTATGACTTTTCAGTAAAAATAAACCACAGTGGATGCAGGTAGTTTAGGGCCTGAAGTGCCTACAAAGTTGGAAGCCCTCTTGAAAAAGAGAGTAAAAAAAGTATAAGACAAGAGTACCTCCCAGGGTGTTGGACAGAGTGCTGGCTCCGTTGGATGAGGCATCTGGAGGCTCACGCTTCAATACCTCACAGAAAAGCCACATCTGATACCGGCAGCTCAGCAAAGAAGCTGAGCCCACTTCACTCCCCCAAGCAAGGCCAGAGTGCATGTTTCCCCACAGCCTCGCTGACACTGTGTTTTATCACTTTTGATCTTCACCAACTTGATGGCCCAAGGGTGGTGTAGTCTGAGTCACTTCTCCCTGGCTAAAAAGTCACATTTTCGCACACATACATATATGCATATATCCATTGCTTGCAGGGGTGGAGAGAAAGAGGGATGCTGAAAAGTACAATAAGATTCTCTCTTTGCTCGTGTCTGTGTTGTTAAAAAAAAAAAAAGTGAGGGGTGAGCCCAGGTGGCTGTAGGTTAAGCATCTGACTCTTGATTTTGGCTCAGGCCATGATCCCAGGGTCATGGGATCAAGCCCCATGTTAAGCTCCATGCTCTGTGCAGAGTCTGCTTAAGATTCTCTCTCTGAGGGGCACCTGGGTGGCTCAGTCATTAAGCATCTGCCTTCGGCTCAGGTCATGATCCCAGGGTCCTGGGATCAAGCCCCGCATCGGGCTCCCTG